ACACACACACACACACACACACACACACACACACACACACACACACACACACACAAACACACGAGCCTATCACACAGAGTCCAGTCTCTACATTCATTCTGAGTATTATAGATTCCTTACTGGAGCTCCTCTCCGAGTCACAGCCTCGCCTTTCACAACCACAGTGTTTCCCTCCGTCAAGGCTGGCCACACATGGTACATCACCAGAGGAGCTGTGAACTCAGAGCTGTAGCTGCGACGGTACCTGGCAGAGAGATCATAGTCAGAGTCAGAGTTTCTTTATTGTCGTTCCACCACATGTGGTACATGTGGTGGAACGACATTATGTACACAGGGTCCCAGTTACATCCAACAATAAAATGTAAAAGAAAAACAATGATAACATCTAAGATATGAACTAAGAAAAAAAAAAATCAACTAAAAATACACTAAGCACTAATAGCATAAAAACATTACGTCGAACAGCAGCACGAACATGAGTCTGTGTGAGTAGATGAGCACGCATGAACACAGAAACATGAAACAGATCAGCAGCAACATGATGTGAATTTTTTTTTCCCCACAGTGATTATTCTGGTTAGAGATTTATGAGTCTAACAGCCTCAGGGTAGAAGCTGTTCCTCAGTCTAGTGGTTCTACACTTACTGCTCCTCAACATCCTGCCTGAGGGGAGCGGTGCAAAAATTGTGTGTGCTGGGTGAGTGGGGTCCTTCATGATGCAGGTGGCTCTCTTCCTGCATCTGGAGGTGTAGATGTCTGTGATGGTGGGGAGACTGACTCCAACAGTCTTCTGTGCAGCCTTCACCACTCTCTGCAAAGCTTTTCTTTCTGCAGCTGTTCAGCCTCCATGCCACACGTTGATGCTGGAGCACAGGATGCTCTCCACTGCACACCTGTAGAAGGAGGTGAGGACTGAGCTTCCCAGTCCAGCTCGTCTCAGCCGCCTGAGGAAGTAGAGTCTCTGATGAGCTTTCTTGATCAAACTGGTGGTGATGTTGCTCCAGCTGAGGTCGTCATTCATGTGCACACCCAAGTACTTGTAGCTGGAGACCACTTCCACCACAGATCCTCTTATGTTCAGGGGGGTGTAGGAGTGTTTTTTTCCTTTTGAAGTCTATGATCATCTCCTTTGTCTTCTTCCCATTGATGTGAAGGTTATTCTCTTTGCACCAGATCTCCAGGTGTTCCACCTCCTGCCTGTATCTGGACTCATCATTGTTTGTGATGCATCCCACCACCGCTGTATCATCTGCAAACTTTACAATATGACAGCCTGGATGGGTAGCTGCACAATCATACGTGAGCAGAATAAACAGGAGAGGGCTCAACACACATCCCTGAGGAGAGCCAGTGCTGAGGGTTATGGTGGAGGAGAAGAAGTTGTGGATCCTCACTGACTGTGGTCTGTTTGTTAAGAAGTGTAGTACCCAGTTGCAAATGGAGGGGCTTAGTCCTAGTGTGGACAGTTTGTCCATCAGGGTTTGGGGGATCATGGTGTTGAAGGCGGATGTGAAGAAGTCTTTCTGTTCCAGGTGGGTGAGAACAGTGTGGACCACAGAGGACATGGCATCCTCTGTTGATCGGTTCTCACAGTATGCATACTGATGAGGGTCTTAGTTGATGTTGATGGTTGTTTTGATGCGAGTCATGACCAGTTTTTCGACACATTTTGCGACTATCGGGATGAGGGCCACTGGCCGATAGTCATTCAGATCAGACACTGTAGAGCTTTTTGGGACTAGGATGATGGTGGCAGTCTTCAGGCAGATGGGAACTGTCTCCAGGGTAAGTGAGGTGTTAAAGATGTCTGCCAGCACCTCGCAGAGCTGATCGGCACATTCTTTCAACACTTTTCCTTTTTGCCTTGTGCGGATTCATTCTCCTGAAAGTACTCCTTACTTTGGCTGAGGTCACGCTGAGATGCTCTTCATCCGGTGGTGAGGTGAGTCTGGTGCTGGTTGGTCTGTTCGGGTCTTCAAAGCGTGCATAGAACTTGTTGAGGGCATCAGGCAGAGATGGGTCTTTGCGGCATTGTTCGCTCTTTCCTTTATAATCTGTTATGCACTTAATGCCCCTCCACATGCTCCGAGGGTCTTGTGAGGTGAATTGAATCCTCTGTGCATATGTAGCCTTGGCCTTCTTAATACCAGCAACCAGCTCTTTCCTTGTCCTACTCAGCTCCTGTGAGTTTCCAGACCTGAAAGCAGTGTTCCTGGCTTCCAGCAGGGTGCACACATCTGCATTCAGCCAAGGTTTTCTGTTCAGGTAACTTTTAAGTTAACATATCTTATGATGGAGACGGTGTCAGTACATGTGCTAATGTAACCCAAAACTGAGGAAGCGCATTAGTCCAGATCAAGCGATCCTCCATTTTCAGCAGCTTCTCTGAAAACCTGCCAGTCTGTTAGATCAATATAATCTCTCAGTATGGGGCCACTGTTTTGGATCCAACATTTAACTTCCTTTTGAACCGGTCTGGAGCTGTAATGGAGATGGAGCTGTAAGTGTGTCATTTGAGAGTGGAGTATGACATCTGCTGGTAGAAACGTGACACAATCACTGTGGGGCTGCAGACTGATCACTGCAATAAACTGCATCCACTGAACATTACTTTAAACTTTCTGCAGAGAAATGATTATTTAAAAGCAGCTATCTGAATGGGACTGACTTGATGTCATTGTATAGTTCTCCATCACTTCCAAAGGCCAAGTCAAGAGGTGGCTCCAAGGTCTGCATGGCAAAGGCCACCCTGCAGGTCTCTCTGATCAGAGTACTGATGAGAGCAAAGTCCACCTCTGGAGGGAAGGAGATCCGAGGATTCACGTTCATGGCATTGATCACATCCTAAGATCGGGGGGGGGGTGGGGGGGGAGACATGGTGAGACAAATAAAAAAAGCAAATAACTGTTAACAGTGCTTTAATTTTTTGACTATTCGGTCAAAGTATTGAATATTTTGTTTTCAACACGATTTCTGATTTGCAACAGCTTTTACAACTTTGGGAAAAAAACTATAAGAAAAATCATCAAAGTTCATGCTCATTGATCCAGGTAGAAAAATCCAACAAAGTTGTCAGGTCCTCTGGACGGTTTCTTTTTGTTGAGAATGTTTCGTCCTTCATCCAAAAGACTTCATCAGACTTAACTTTGTTGGGCTATAAGCAAAATATGGCAAAACGTGGCTGAATCAAGAATCATGAGCCATGACTTTTGGTAGCAATACATCATAAGGAGTGGACAAAATCTGATAAACGAACACCAAAATGCAAATATTTTTCACATAAAAATAAATAAGTAAGAAAATCCAACCTTTTATTTTAGCTCTGTAGTTCAGAAATGTGTCCCAATAAAATTGTTAGCATTTAACTGGGTCATGAAATGTGCTTTACAATTGTTTAATTTTACTACAGAATGTTTAAGTTGTTTAATGTCATACTAAAAGTTTTGTTGAACAAACTGTAGGTTTCCACAGAACTGACATGAATTTTACTTTAAATCTGATTCTGAGAAATCCAGTTTTAGCTTCTCTCCATTGGCTCCCTGTCAAATCCAGAATTGAATTCAAATCTTACTTCTAACCTACAAAGCTCTCAACAACCTAGCTCCATCTTAAATTACAGATCTTATTGTTCCATATTTTACGAACAGAGCACTTCACTCTCAGACTGCAGGTTTACTTGCGGTTCGTAGAGTTTCCAAAAGTAGAATGGGAGAAAGATCTTTCAGTTCTCAGGCTCCTCTCTTGTGGAACCAACTTCCAGTTTCTGACCGTGACGCTGACACATTGTCCAGTTTTAAGTCTGGGCTTAAGTCTTTCCTTTTTGATAAATCCTATAATTAGGGTCGGCTTGGGTTTCCTGAGCTGTCCCTTAGTTATGCTGCTATAAGCTTAGACTGCTGGAGGACAAACTGAGCAATTTTCTTCACTCTGCCGCTCTCTTTACTTACTCTCCCTGTTTTGTATTTATTTATTTTTTCTATCCTTGACATGTATTTTTGTTTTGTTTTGTTTGTTTGTTTTGGCCTTTCTTTCAACAGCACCTACATCTGGACCTGCCATTCTGTGTTCGTCTCTCCTTCCTGTCCTCTCAAACTCAGCCGGTTGAAGCAGATGGCCGCTCGTTCTGAGCCTGGTTCTGCTGGAGGTTTCTTCCTTTTAAAAATAAGTTTTTTTCCTTTCCACTGTTGCCTTTATGCTTGTTCAGGATGGGAGACTGTGACGAAGTGAAGATTTAGCGAGTCTGCTGGCTTCCATCCTTAGAGAACTTTTACTAATTTGCTTTTGTATGTATGTGAATATTTCTGTTCAGTATCCTGAGACAATTTCTGTCATGATTTGGAGCTATATAAATAAAATGAACTGAATTTGATTGACTTAAAATGTCAAGATGTTTGTCACCCTGTATGTCAGCTTTAAGACTTCTGTTTTCCATCCATCCATCCATTATCTTTACCAGTTTATTCCATTTTGGGTCACAGGGGTCGCTGGTGCCCATGTCCAGCAATCACTGTGCGAGGGGCGGGGTACACCCTGGACAGGTCGCAAGTCCATCACAGGGCCACATAGAGACAAACGAGACAAACAACCATTCACTCTCTCACTCACACCTAGGGACAATTTAGAGTTACCAATCAGCCTAACATGCATGTTTTTGGTCTGTGGGAGGAAACCGGAGCACCCGGAGAAAACCCACGCATGCACGGAGAGAACATGCAAACTCCACCCAGAAAGGCCCCTGGACCGGGGTTTGAACCAAGGACCTGCTCGCTGAGAGGCAGCAGCTCTACCAGTTGCGCCACCGTGCTGCCGCGACTTCTGTTTATACAACTTTATTTTTTTCTCTTTTTTTCCCTCAAATCCTCCCAGAGTGCAGTTCACAGATCCTAACTCCCACTGACTTCCACTGTGTCAGAGCAGTTGTCTCTGGGCACTTTACAGGAACATTCACATACATAGAAAAGCCAATTAGTAAAGTTCTCTATCTAAGGAAGCAGCAGACAAGTTGAATCTTGACTTCTTCACAGTCTCCCATCCTAAGTAATCAGAATGGCAACAGTGGAAAGGAAAAACTCCCTTTTAAAAGGAAGAAACCTCCAGCAGAACCAGACTCAGGACAAGAGACCATCTGCTTTGACCGGCTGGTTTGAGAGGACAGGAAGGAGAGACAGACGAACACAGAATGGTAGGTCCAGGTATAGATCCAGGTGTATCTGAAAGACAAAAAAACACATGTAAACACATGTAGAAAAAATAATTACAAATACAAAACAGGTTGAGCAGAGTAAGTAAAGACAGTAGCAGAGTGAAAAAAATTAGTCAGTTTATCCTCCAGCAGTCTAAGCCTATAGCAGCATAACTAAAGGACAGCTCATGGAAACCCAAGCTGACCCTAACTATAGAATTTAGCAAAAAGGAAAGTCTTAAGCCTAATCTTAAAACTAGACAATGTGTCAGCCTCACGGACAGAGATTGGAAGTTGGTTCCACAAGAGAGGAGCCTGATAACTGAAAGATCTGCCTACCAAGTTTGTTTTTGGAAACTCTAGGAACCGCGAGTAAACCTGCAGTCTGAAAGCAAAGTGCTCTGTTCGGAAAATATGGAACAATAAGATCTCGAATATACAAAGTAAGATGGAGCCAGGTTGTTGAGAGCTTTGTAGGTTAGAAGTAAGATTTTGAATTCTATTCTGGACTTGACAGGGAGCCAATGGAGAGAAACTAAAACTGGAGAAATATGATTTCTCCTAACACCAGTTCTAGTAACGTTTTTAATATGGTGGATAAAAGACATGTCTTGATCAAAAATAACACCAAGATTTTTAACATTAGAGCTGGAGACCAGAGTAATGCCATCTAAGGAGGGAGAAAGACTGAAAAATTTATTCCTAAGGTGCTCAGGTCCAATAACCAAAACCTCAGTCTTGTCTGTGTTCAACAGGAGAAAATTAGTTTTTTTTTTGTTTGTTTTTTATGTCTTTAAGACATGCTTGTAAGTCTAAGTAGCTGATTGGATGGATTCATTGGGTTTAATGGGCAAATATAATTGTGTATCTTCAGCATAACAATGAAAATGTATCCCATGCTGTTTAATAACTTTACCTAATGGAAGCATATATAAAGTAAAGAGTATTGGCCCAAGCACTGAGCCCTTAGGTACTCCATGACTAACTTTGGTGTATGAAGAAGATTTATTATTTACATTTATAAACTGGAATCTATCAGATAGATATGATTTAAACCATTTTAGAGCTGTTCCTGTAATCCTAATATCATATTCAAGCCTCTGTAGTAAAATATTGTGATCAACTGTATCAAATGCAGCACTGAGGTCTAACAGGACCAGTATAGACACAAGTCCATTGTCTGAGGCCATGAGAATATCATTAGTGACTTTTACTAGTGCTGTTTCTGTGCTATGATAAGCTCTAAACCCTGACTGAAACTCTTTAAACAGATTATTTCTTTGTAGATGTTCACGCAACTGACCTGCAACTATTTTCGCTAGAATTTTTTAGATGAACGTTAGATTAGATATAGGTCTATAGTTGGCCAGAATTTCTGAATCAAAATCAGACTTTTTAAGTAAAGGTTTAATTACAGCAACCTTAAACTCTGTGGTACATAACCATCCATTAAAGACAAATTAAGTAGATCCAAAATGTGGACATTAATTAGGAGAAATACCTCTTTAAACAGTCTGGTTGGGATGGGATCTAGCAGTCATGTGGATGGTTTGGATGAGGTTATTATTTTTGACAATTCAGAGAGCTCAACAGGACAAAAACAGTCCAAGCATAAATCAGGCTCTAGTGAATTTTTAAAGTTGCCTCATTTGACAGGTAACTAAGGATAGTAGAAGGAAGGATGGTTTGAATTTTCTCTCTAATTGAAATAATTTTATTTATAAAGAATCTCATGAAGTCATCACTACTTATAGTTGTAGGGATACATGGTTCAACAGAAATGGGACTTTTAATTAGTCTAGCAATAGTACTAAACAGAAACCTAGGGTTATTTTTATTCTCATCTATTAAAGATGAACAATATAACGTTCTAGCTTTACGGAGAGCTTTCTTATATGTTAGACTATCTTTAAAAGTTAAATAAAATTCTTCAACCTTAGTGGAGCGCCATTTTCTCCCCTGATTTCTAGATGCCTGCTTTAAAATACATAACTCAGAATTGAACAGTTTCCTCTGATTGATTACTTTTTTACAGTTTGGAGTTGGTGGAATTCTGGATTGTTGACAAATTATGGAGAATGTGCCGAGCTTAGCAGCACTCAGCCTATGTACAAACTATATATGGTGCTGTATCAAGCTGAGCAGGCTGATCCTTATTAGGACTTTTGAACTTTCTGGCAGTGTCCACGAATGGTTGGAAGGAATAAATCTTGGAAAAGCTGTAAGCTTGACTTGGCATAAGTAATCAAATTTGGCTGTTTGGAGTCACCATGAGAGAATGTACCAGTGAGACTGTTAAGGTAGACACGGAAATTTACGAGTTCAGCCTGACCCCAAACTGAATCAGGACCTGCCCTTGGAAGGCGGACTATCTCAAATTTCTCCTTGGATGTTATGGAAACAAAGACCCTCTATCCACCTACCCACCCCCGCCCTCCCCCAAGGTAGTGGACGTGACATAGCTCAACTGAGCTGGCTGATAAACAAACACCTCTTATCAGAACTATGGTGGGGGGGGGGGGGGGTGCTCTGGCTACGACCTTCCCTCAAACTCAATGCCTCCACAGGCAAACATGCTTATGCATTATGTCCATTTATGTTGCTTTGCTGTGGTAATTTTTTATGCCTCAAACCATGCCCTGTCAAGGACACGGTGTGAGAGATCCTTTTTTTTTATACCTCTCTCCTTATGTCTTCTTCCCTTTTTCTTATCTAAGCAACAGGGGCAGTGCATCTTAGAAGCTGCAGCCCCCTGTACACTTCTGTCCATCTTTAGGAAGGCTGTACAGAAAGTAATTTCATTGTTCTTCACTGTGCAAGGATAATAAAAGCATTCTGATTATCAGGATCTGAGTATTTTGGTTACTTATTAGTTCTTTTAGATCAGTATGAGATTTATTCCTCCTGTGGTGATTATGCCTTTTTCACAGTGTTTTGGGATCCTTGTGTTTGAGTTCTGTTTCTTGATCGTTTGGTTTTCTGCCATCAGTTCAGCCACTTTCAGTTTGATCAGTTTGGTCATCAGTCAGTCAGCTCTGATCTCACCCTGCCCACTATCAACTATTCCAGTTTGCCATCACTCAGGTGTTTGTCATTTGCTTTATCAGTCTGCCTCCTTTCATTCCTTGTGTCTCTGTTCCTCCAGCTGTGGAGCATTATGAATTGTAATGTCAGTCCTGGTTTCCTGTTGGTGACTCTTCTTTTACTGTCACATCATCATTATTTTTATTTTTATTGTTACTAAAAGTTTTGGTTGACACGCTGCTCCTTGTATTGAGCCTGCACTCCTTGGTTCATCTTCCTTCCACCATGACATATTTACCTTTTTGATAGTGTTTTGCAACTTTTAGCTAGCATTGTGCCAATTTTAGTTGTGTTTTCTTCTTTTAGCCTTTTGTTAGCATTCTGATACTTTTGGCTTCTTGCTGGCCTTGTTTTGCTACATTCCAGTGTAGCTAGTGTCTTGCTATTTTAGCTAGCAATTTGCTATATTTGTAATGCACTTTGCTGCTAGAGGCATTTTGCTTCTTTAGTTTTAGCTAATTTTCTTCATTTTAGCTATTAGCTAGTGTTCTGCTTCCCTTAGCTTTAACAACTTAATTTCAGCTTATTCAACAAAGTAAATCATTCGATCCTCAGCATTCACGCTGCTTTTTCTGTAAAAATTCAGTTTCTTTGGATAGAAACGGAAATCCCAAATTATATTTGAGCTTATAGAAAAAAATCTGATGTTGGAGTGTCAGGCTGTAGTTGAATTGGCAACTTTTATTATTCTGTCGTAAATGTTCTATTTGTAAATAAATAAATAAATATAATAAATGATGCACACGTCACATGAGGAAAGTGTTTTGTCTCACATTGACACTGGTTTGAACATCATAAAGGTCCAGGTTGCGGATAATGTAGTACACAGCTGAATCCTCAAGGTTCTCGGGACCAAAGTTGGACGAGGACAGCGAGTTTCTCACTCGCAGCTTGAACTGACGATAGGCCAGTTTAGCTGTTTGAAAGGATTCCTAAAACAGGGAAAACATACACTGCAAACTCACAAAACTCAAAAGCACTAACTCCTGATTTGTTTTATTTTAGTTGTTTGTGTGTTTCTAATGTTTTTTTTCACTGACATATGATTAATGTAGTCATACCACAACAGCAATGTAGATGATTTTCTGGACCATCTCCAAGTTGGTGATGTAGCGTCGAAGGATGCTCTGCGCCTCCAGACGCTCCACGGCATACAGGTCACTGAAGCGTGAGATGAGGCGTGCGTGGCGTGAGGAGTGAGTGAGCTGGGCTCTGTTGGGCGACTCACTCCTCACGGGGCTGGATGAGAGGTTGAGCTGGGGCAAAGGGCTTGGAGAGCGGCTTCGCACCAACCTGAAAAGGGAAAGGAAAACATCAGTTATGTAGATGGACTGTACTTATATAGTGCCTTTCTATTTTATCAAGACACTCAAAGTGCTTTACACTACAATTTGTGCCCTCATTTATCCATTCATACAGCACTCTACTAGATATATTTATCACATTCATACACCGATGGGACACACATCTGAGGCAATGAGGGGCTCAGTGTCTTGCCCAGGGACACTTAGGCATGTGACTGCTGGTGGATTCGACCCCCCACCTCTTGCATTGGAGAACGACTGCTCTAACCATTCAGCCACAGCCGCTCCAAAGAAGAGAGCTGTGTTGGCAGGTGCGGATGTACCTGTCAAGCAGCTTGGCCTTCTCTGTGTTCAGATAAGACACTTCATCCTTCAACAAGCAAATCTGGCGCTCGTAGTCATCAAGGGCATTCAGCTTCCTCCTATAAGTTTCCACTTGCTCGTTGGCAGAACACAAACTGAAATACAAAGTTCGCATCTATAAAAGAAAAGATCTGTAATGTTATTCCTTTGTCTTTGTGTGTTTGTGTGTCCTTTTATTGGCAAAATACCTCATGAACCACCAGACAGAAACATTTCAACCTCTTGTATAAAAAACAGTGAGCAAGATACATGTAAGAAATGCTAGGCCTATTTTTCATATGATAACCTTTACATGTATCACCTACTCTGCTTTAAGTTGTAAGATTTCATCTTCTGTGGCTAGCAGAGTGGTCGCTGATTTGCTCCTCATCTCATCCAGCTCCTTCTGAACATCCATGAATCTGTTAAAATAAATGAGTGTGTGGCTCTAATCTACAGAATGCTTCACCTCTTCTAACTTTGCGTCAACATGAGGCATGATGTTTGACTCACTCTGTTCTGACCGACTCAAGTTGGAGGCGAGTGGAGCACAGCTGAACCTCCATCTTCTTCATGTTGCTCTCATGGGAGACAGAGAGCTTACTGAGTCTTCTGTCCATCTCTGCTGAGTCCTGACAGAAACAACCAATGATGATAAACACAACAGAGCAAATGGAGTTGGTGGATCACAGGGAGTACCTGGATGAGCTGCAGACTGGTGTTGTCTGTGACTGAAGGCTTTGACATAGAGAAACAGGTTCCAAGCCATGGGAGAAGCCGCATCTTCAGAGTGTCAACTCCAGCATAGTGACCACCTAAGTTACAATTAAAGATATTAAAACAGTTCTGAAAGGTTGTTCGGTAAAAGAAGCCCTGACTGTGAAGCATACCCTCAGCTGCAGTGAGGTTCAGGATGGTAAACAGCTGGCCTTGGATCTGTGCGGTGAGTTCAAGCAGCTCACAACATCTGTTCAGATTCTGGTCACAAGAAATCACCTGCAGAGTTGAATTTTTGTTGTGACATTTTAATTAAAAAAAATGGACACCAGAATCACAGTAAACTGATTTTACAATTTTTTTGTAGTTCCTATTTGTCAGAGATTTGTTTGCACAATTGATTCAAAAAAGTTCAAGACAAAAACAACTGGACTTTATTTGTAACAGAAGACGTTTCACTTCTCATCCAAGAAACTTTCTCAATTCAAAGAACTGTGTGAATTAGATTAACAAAAACCTTAACAAACCCCTACTGTGAGGTGTGATAGGTCAATCTGCATATGTACGAATGTATGTATCTTACCTCAGCTTTATAACTTGAACCTCATACTTACTGTTCTTTGAACTGAAAAAGCTTCTCGGATGAGAAGCAAAATGTCTTCTGTTACAAATAAAGTTCAGCTGGTTTCATCTTGAACTTTTTGTAAATTTACCATGTCCTGGATGACTGAGAATCTTCACCAGAGTTTGCACAATTGGTACCTGTGATATAATTGATCCAGTTATCAATCAATTTGAATGCTCACCTATCACCTACTGCATTTAAAACTAACTCGTAAAGTAAACAAAAGCTTTTTGCACTAATGCAACACGGTGATTTTCAGAGAAAAAAATTAGTGTCCTATTCTATAATGGCTTTGTTTGTACAACTCAACTTCATTTGTTGAATTTTATAACTTAATTAATGTATTTAGCACTATTTTTGCCCTGTTTCTCCCTTCATCCCAACGTGAGATGACAAAAAGAAAATGTCCAGTTTGTTCTGTTTAAATGGAAATGGACTGTACTTAGCGCCTTTCTATCTTATCGAGATACTCAAAGCGCTTTACACTACAATCTGTGCCTCATGTAACCATTCATACAGCACTCTACTAGATCTCTGAAAAGCTAATTGAACAAATCATTCCAATGAGACTAATCAGAGCTTTATCACATTTATACACCAATGGGACACACATCAGAGGCAACGAGGGGTTCAGTGTCTTGCCCAGGGACACTTCGGCATGTGACTACTGTTGGATTCGAACCCCCAACTCTTGCATTGGAGGATGACTGCTCTAACCACTCAGCCACAGCTGCCCACTCTAGCTACGCCCACTTTAGTTAAAAACTACAGCAGAAATTCAGGTCAAGCTCCACATTTCTTGTCTTTGAGCGTGATGAGAGCTCAGGATGAGTCTGGATATGACCGCCCTCATCAAACTGAACTCCATCAGCCATGTTATCACTATTACCTCTGCTGCAAACAAACAAACAAATAATGTCTGTTGTGTTTTACAGTAAAAAGGTCATAAAAATGCCAGGGAGTTCAGGTCTCACATGTTCAAGTCTGGAGTAGCTTTGGGTAAAATTGTTTGTTATTCTTTTATTGATTAAGATGTAAAGTCCATACAAGTTTTTGCTTTTTAATAAAATAAAATCAGAGTAAGAATAACATTATTCTTTCTAAAGAAAAATTGCCCTAGGAAGGATTGGTCCGTGCTGTAGGTACTCTAAATCAACTGGTTTATGAGCTAAACCGTAAGGTGGAGGCGATTTATGAGAATCACAGACCACCTGCGGCTTCTGGGACTTGTCAGCGTGGTGGGTTCAACCTTGAGGGAGACTCATAGCATGGATCAGTGGAATGGAATCCACAATTAGGCTATTTCGGAACTAGAACGTCCAGATGGACTCAAGACTAAAAAAAAAAAAAAAGTCTGCCTGAAGAAAATCAACAATCAAAGCTTATCTGAATCTGACTCCCTGAAGGCCTCGGAAACGGGCCAACTATCAAATTTCTCCTGAGTCATGGGTAACCAAGGACAAAAGTTTCATCTATTGTATCACATCTTTTTTTGTAATACAACAATCTACCCTCATGTTTCTCCCCCTTTTCCTAGCTAAGATTATTATTCTGAAAAAGGATAAGAAAGGCCGTGCTTAGTTATAGTAGCAGCTTCATGCACTCCGTCCATCTTTTGGATGACTGCATGTACATGTTCTCATTGTGTCTCGGTGCAATGATAATAAAGCTTATTCTGATTCTGATTCTGAAACAAACAGACAGACAGACAGACAGACAGATAGACAGACAGACATAGATCCAGACAGATAGATAGACAGACAGACAGACAGACATCCAGACAGAAAGATAGACACAGACAGACAGATAAACAGACAGAGATCCAGACAGA